CGTGTGGGGAAACAAAGGCATAAGTACAAAGGAGGTGAAGAGGTGCAATCATTTCCACCAGCACCTCTGCTCCCCTCTGACTAGAAAAGGAAAGGCTTATTCCTCTCTCCTCTCTGTCTAAAAGAGGGCTAAGAAAGCAGCAAAGCCTCTTCTGCTAGCGGGAGCCGTGAGCGGCCCAGAACCAGGAAGTGGTGGTGAGGTGAGGTGAGGTGAGGTGAGGTGAGGTGAGGAGCTCACCAAGGGCAAGAGCAACCCAGCGTGGCCAGTTCCTTGCTGTGTATCAGGCAGGTGAAGGTGTGTCTGCCAGCCCTTTATCAATCATGCCCTATCAGACCTTCCCACAATAGTGCACACAGCAGAGAAGACAACACAGGCAGGTGCAAATTCCACTCCCAGCTGTGATGTGACCACTGTACAAACATCCTGCCATCACCTGAGGTGTTGCAAAGGTCATCTGGCTGCCATGTCACCTGGCAGGGGTTCCCAAAGACAGAGATGATCTCGGTGCTGCCCCTTGCCCTGTAGTATGGCATATTCCTGCCCTGGACCCTGTCCCAGCCCCTGCAAAAAGCTTGGGCCAAGAACCTGCCAGCTCATTTACAAGCGCAGGCCCTTCACATTAGTCCTGGAAGAACACTGCATACCCCCATCTTTCTATGGGTCTGGAGGAACCTGCCTCTTCCAGGGACTTGGAAAAGAAAGGCCTGTGCCAGGCTTTGTTGTTGTCCATATGATAGTAGAGCCTGAAAGCCCAGTATAGATGATGGTCCTAGAGCAAGGGTGTGCAAAATGTGACCCACGGGCCATATCCAGCCCGCAGAGGGATTTTGTCCGGGCCACAGTGGGACCCTCAGTCCTGCCTGGCCCAGGTGCAGGGGGAAGCCCAGGCCATGGTGCATGCGGCTGGTCCCCCGCCCCGGGGGTGCAGCGGGTTGGGGCAGCATGGTGGCCAGATTCCATTTCCTGGCAGCTTCTGGCTACCACAGCCACTGACCCAGTCCTGCTGCCTGGGCACCTGGCCCATCCACCCCGCACCTACCACCAGGGGTGGGACCTGTGCGGACAGAGTGCTTGGTCAGGTGGCTGGGATGGAGCCGTACGCAGGCCAGCAGGGAGAGGCATTTAGGAGCAGCAGGGGCAGGCAGGGCCAGGGAGAACCAGGGATCTAGGGGTGGTGACAGTGCAGGGCTGGGGCCAGGGCAGAGCTGCGATCTGCTGTGTGCACACCCTTGCAACGGGCACTGGTTCTGTGGGCAGGGATGTGCAGAGAGTGGAGCATGTCTCTGCCCTGGCCCTGTGCTGTCACCGCCCCTGGACCCAATCCATCCCATCCACCCAGCTGTCTGTGTGCCCTGCCCATGCAGGTCCCAGGCAGTCTCCATGGAGACCTCGGGATTGCAGGGTGGTGACAGCGTGGGGCTGGGGCAGAGCTAGTTTTGCAGGCAGGGACATGTGAGGAGCAGACTGCAGCTCTACCCTGGCCCTGTGCTGTCTCTGCCCTATCATCTCAGGGTCTCCATGGAGACTGGTCGGGACCTGTGCAGTCAGGATGTGAAGCCGGGTGGATGGGCTGGGGCTGCAGGTGGGTGTGGAGCTGTGTCTGGGGCTGGGATCTTGGGGCAATGACAGTGCAGGGCAAGGCGCAAGGTCTCTACCTACACTCCGCTCCCTGCACAAACGCTGTCCATGGAACCAGCGCCCATTGCAGGGACGTGCAGGCAGCGTCTCTACCCTGGCCCTGGCCCCGGCCCCATGCTGTCACTGCCCATGACCCCATCCTGTGACCCCAGCTTCACTTGTTGGTCCTGCTCCCAAACGCTGCTCCCCACCTGCCTGCGGCCTCATCCCATATGGGGAGCTTTGGTAAGCTGTTGCACAGGGGAGAGGGTGCTGACCCAGCCTGCAACAGCTCAGCAAAACTCCCTATGTGCACCCCTGCTTTAGGGGGCACTGTACTCATCCATGTCCTGGGAGCAGACAGCCAGCCAGTCAATTTCCTACCCAATATGACTGCATATTTCCATACTGCAGGAATCAGCCTTGTCTGGCTGTACCTTTACTATCTGCTCCCTTATCAGCAGTGTTAGGAAATATTCCCAAGTGCCACATCACCAGCTCATTGAACACAGAGCAGCTGCCCCTGCACATGTCCAGGGACCCAGCCTGCAGAGCTCCTGTGGCTACTCAACACAAAGGCACTTGAACCACATCCTACCAACCACATCCTGACAAACTGAATCCTCCAGACAACACCACTACACTCCAAACACCCCACCACACGATGATATCCTTTAGACATCCCTGTCATGCACTATGGGCACCTATACATGTGCCTGCGACGTCTGCTCCAAGTCGTGCTAGTTAATTGAGTCTGCTGGACTGTGCTAATCAGCAAGCTCCAGCAGCCTCTGCATCATATGTATTCAGCATCCCTACATTTCAAAATGGAGGCGGGGGCGCTTTACCTAAAACTATTCAAACAAGCATGTGACACTCCCAGGAGCCAATCTTATTAAAGCGCTCCCCCTTCCCCCTTTCTGGAGCACGTGTAAAGATGCCCTGTGTGTGTAACACCATCACCTTCCAAACATCCTCCTCATACCACCATCTTAAACACCCCCACCACACAGTACCACACTACACACACCTTAAACACACACCAATCCTGTAACACTAGCACCTTCAAAAGGCCTGTCACAGATTAATCCTGTAAGTATAGCTAGGCATAGCAGAATTTGATTTCTATTTTTTTATCATTTCAACAGCTAAAATCTATGTTTTTTTTAAGCATTTATTTCAATTTTTATCAATTTATATTTTCAGGATTGTACAAAATTAGGGATGTGGAGGGCCAACAATTTAGTAATGACAATATACTGCTAAAACTTTATAAAAATAACATGTCAAAATATAAAAAGCAAATATCCATAAATCAATAACTCATACCTGCTTTAAATCATTCTGTTCTTTCATCACTGATGAGTCTGTCTAAGAAGGAACTGAGAGGTGCGTGGTCATGTGGGCAACCCCCTTGCACTTGCCAGGCCATAAGGAGTGCCAGCCACAATGAGTGGCATGGTGCTGAGGCTGAATGGGAAGCTGATGGTATTACAGGGCTATCTGTGAGTGCTCGGTGGTGGCTGGGAGCATGTTGTGTATTGAGGGTAAGTAAAGGCATGTTGTGTTGTTTGTTAAGGAATCCTTGTGGCTAGGTTTTCTGTTTGGGGCAATGTTCTTCTTTGTGAGGGTGTTGCTGTCTTGAGAATATAATCGGAAATTTCCTGTGAAGGTATTGTGGGTTTATATTGTGGGGAGGGCCAGGTGTGAGGGTTCTAGAGATGGTGTCTGTGATGGCATTGTAACAACTTGTTTGTCTCTTTGGGGTGGCGTTTGTGAGGCTGTTGTTACAGGGTTGGTGTGTGGCCAAGGGCTGTGAGCATCCTGGTGTTACAGGGCTAGTGTGCAGTAGGGCTGTGTGCAACTGTGCTATAGTTAGGCTTGGCATAATTTGAGGATAAACAGATTTCACCTCACACAAGAAAGATGGAACATATTTCCATCAGAAATAATCAAAATTTACAGAAAGAAGACTGTAACAAGGAACCCTTACCTGTGCAAGGGACAGTGTGAGGCTCCAGCCCCATGGCAGCAGTGTCCTGCTCAGGCTCAGCAGTGTCCTCTTCTGGTCCCTGGGCCCTGCCCCCCCGCCCCCATCTCTTTCGTGATGAGTGCTGAATCCAGTGCCCCAGCATTGCACTTGGTGGGGGGAAGGCTCTGTTGGGGTGTTGCCCCAGGACTGAGTGTTAAATCCAATCTCCCATGCAGTTCTGGTATGAGGAGATGATAAGCCTCACCCTCCCATATATACACCAGGGACAACACAACTGTGCACCAGAGGCCTAACTAACTATCCTACTGCACGTGCAACTGTACCCACGTGCTCCCCGCTTCTAGACCATTGTGGCTTCAACACCCCTGCTTCCAGGGCTCTCTTCCCCTCCCACCACCATACTGCCTCTTGCCCTTCAAGCTGTGGCTTCCATTCACTAATCTAGACATAGATTTGTCCCCAGAGGTGTGAGCAGGGTGTAGTCTGGGAAAAGCCAGGTTGGGACTACAGCCTCATTTCTATGGAGAAACCTTGGATCACTGATTGACTTCTGAAGTTGTGACTCATGCTTGATCTAATGTTTCAGTGCATAGTCCTGGCTAAAGAGGAATCCTCTCCTTGCTTGGTTTCACAGCTCTTGGGCAAGTACAGTGTCTGGTAAAGCAGGCAACTTCCCTAGAACTCAGGAACTTTTAGGAATTTTTACAAACCTCAGAATGAGAAATGCTGAGAACAAACCTCGTCACGGCCTCTTCATTGACTGGCGGAGGGGAGCATTCTGAACCCTGACAAAGCCCGGCTGGATTTATGCCTCATGGCTCTGGCACCAGCAGGCCTCTTTCCATGGCTCAGTACATTCACTGAGGTTCTCCAAATCAGCTGGAGCAGCACATAAAATGCAACTGGACTGTGGAGCACTGGTGGAACAATGCAGGGTGTCACCCCAGACTAGAGGTAAATTGTCAGTTTCAAAATGGCTCAGAATACAGTAGTGCTTCTGGGAGGACTGTTATAGTTCACCATAGAGTTTTATTTGCTAGTCATCCGAGTGCTGTCCACTCCAGCTGGGCTGCCCACCAGCTGTGTTCTGGGCAGAGTGCTGAGACATAGCCAAGTCAGCGCTGAGTGGGTTAGGGGAGGATAGATGTTAACATGGCTCCATGTTTCTGTGCAACCTTTTGGACAAAAGTTATTTGCATTTGTTTAGGTGCCCTCCCCTTCGTTCTTGGGCAAAAGTTCTTTGCATTTGTTTAGGTGCCCTCCCCTTCGTTGAGACGCCTGCAAAACATGTTTAGGCAACTGATGCCTTGCCATCAAACACTCTGCTTCATTGTTTGCTTATATGCTCCCATTCATCTGTCTGCCCAAATTTATTGTCTCTTGTTTTTAGATTATAAGTTTAGGACCAGCTAGCTCTGCAGAAGCTCACGATGTCAAGTACTAAGCATCATGTTTGACATTTGGCAGACCTGTCACACCCCACCTTAGACTGGTGAGATCCTCGTGCACATGGGCAGAAGGGATGATTTTGTAGTTACTCCTCATGGCCACCTGGAGACAGTGTGGTACCTATTCTATGATAACCCTTTTACTTCTCTCCTGCAGGATCCAGGAAGGAAGGAGCAGTTACAAGGAAGCAGCGTCAAACAGAGATGCTTTTGACTGTGAAGGGCAGAAGGTTAATGAAGCTAATAAAACCCATACTATCCCTAGAGGCTCAGGACCTCTAGGAGGACCCTGCTGCTGTAATCCATTGTGTGTAGCTGACTGCTGTGGGGTGCTACCTGAGCTTTGGCTTGCTGCGGAGACACTCTGGTGAGCCTCCAAGTGTTCAGCCATGGGTGCAGTGTCACAACAGTGACCCTTATGGGAATAAAGGCATTTATTATACAGAAAGGTTGCAAACAGACTGTTCTTGAGTCCCATGACTACCCAGACTCAGGACCCCAGATGAAAAGCACTACATAAATGCCAAGCATCCCTAGGACAGGTAAAGACTTTGAGCATCATAGGGACAGCCAGTGTTACAGCTGTGCATGACCTGTTGCCACCATGCTCTGATCCCTGAGCATGCTCCTTTATAATGTTATCCACAGCTGTTTTCTGCCTTCTTAACATTTGCCCTTTATCACCCAGTAAGACATTAGGCTCTCCATTAGTTCCTGCTCTAAACTGTGCTGTGATGATGCAGTGCACTGTTAAAAGGCACAGCATTCCAGAGGTGGCTGCATTTCAGTACCAGCAAAAGGCCAGTTTGCAAAATATGTTGAGAAGTTTTGAAGCAGCAAGATCATTAGAACTTGTCCAATAGGAAAGCAGTCTTGAATTCCACCCTTTCCACCCCCAGCCAAGCTCTCTGTGTCTGGAGGCTCTTACATCCACTGTGTTGCTGCTACAGCTCTGGGTAGAGGGGCCATTTGCAGGGCATCAAACTGGATGAACTGTTGTTACATGTGTATGTAAAGTGCAGGTACTGCAGTCCCCAGGGCAGAGTGGAATAGGAAACAGGCTCTCTGAGCAAGGGCCATCTCCCTAGATTCATAGATGTTAGGGTCGGAAGGGACCTCAGTAGGTCATCGAATCCGACCCCCTGCCACAGCAGGAAAGAGCACAGGGCTCAGACGACCTGAGCCAGGTGCTTGTCCAGTCTCCTCTTGAAGACCCCCAGAGTAGGGGAGAGCACCACCGCCCTTGGAAATCCACTCCAGATTCTGGCAACCCTGACTGTGAGAAGTTCTTTCTAATGTCCAACCTAAATCTGCTCTCCGTCACTTTGTGGCCATAGTTCCTAGTTACTCCAGGGGGGTGGGGCTAGTAAATAGAGCATCTCCTATTCCCTGCTGCCCTCCCCTGATGGATTTATAGGCAGTCACAAGATCACCAAAGCCCTGGAGCTTCCTGGCTGCTCCTGGTCTCTGTTCAGCACAGGACTGCCTACAGAGGAATAACCACGAAGCTCCATGCCCAGGGTAGCCCCACTGTGTGGCAAGATCAGCTGCTGTTCTATTTTTACTCTCCTATCTCAAAGGCAGTGCCCAGGGCTGATTGGCTGTACACATGGAGCCACATCTCCCCACTCATCCATCCCACAGCAAGGAGCAGAGGGCACTCCACCTGCATAAGCACAGCTAGGCGGCTCCAGGCAGGGGCTCCCTATCTCTGCACATGTCCTCCTATTTACCTAGCTCAGGGGTTGTCAACCGGAGGTGCGCGTACCCCTGGGGGTACTTTGAAAGGTCCCAGGGGGTATGCGGGAGGGGGCAGGGACAGAGTGCTGCCACCCCCTGGTGCTGCCTCACAGGAGCAGGCCAGGGCGGGGCGAGAGCAGGGCCGCACAGACTCTGCGCTGCTGCTGCTTCGCCACTCGCCACACCCCCGCTCCGCGTCTGGACACTCACCACCTCCACGCCAGGGGTACACTTATTAAAAAGGGGCCACCGGGAGTACACTTACTAATAAAAGGTTGAAAACCCCTGACCTAGCTCTTCTCCCTCTGCACTCCTGGGGGCTGGGTCCATGGACAGGATCCCTCCCCTCCGCCTGTGCTCCAGGATGGTGCCCCTGCTCCTGGGTTATTTCAGGGCAAACCGGCGTCATTACACTGACGTAGAGTCACAAACCAAGTCACTCTGCTCCTCCCCCGGTCTCCAAGTGCCCGAGGCCAGCAAAGCCTCTTTCATGCCCCCTGGCTGGAGAGTGGAGGTTTCTGAAAATGGGACAAAACTGTTCATTTGACCAAACAGACAGGACAAGCAAAGCATGGTGTGCCGTCATTCCTCAGAAACAGCCCCGGCGCTGGGACCAGGGCAGGTCGTTGCCTTGTTTTTGGTTTTTTTGAGGATTTTTTTTCATGTCCCAGGTCATATTAACCAGATTAGGTCCACATCTGTTTGATTCATCCAAGAACCGTATGTGACCCTACTACCAGCGAATATCCCCCACCCCCACCTGGGGCTTCAGATACTTCCAAATTCTTTGGCAGGCATCCTATGTGCAGGCCCAAGCCTGGAGGCTTGGAGTTCAAATGCCCCCCAGTTTCATAGTTTCATAGCTGGTAGGGTCGGAAGGGACCTGAGCAGATCATCAAGTCCGCCCCCCTGCCATGGCAGGAAAGAGAAACGACCCCCAGCAAGGTGTTCGTCTAACCTCCTCTTAAAGACCGCCAGGGTAGGAGCGAGCACCACTTCTCTTGGAAGTCGGTTCCAGATCCTAGCTGCCCTGATAGTTAAGTAGTGCCTCCTGATGTCTAGTCTGAATCTACCCTCTGCCAGCTTGTGACGTTATTTCTAGTCACTCCTGGGAGTGCTGGGGGGAACAGGGACTCCCCTAATGCCTGCTGGTCCCCACTGACTAGTTTGTAACAGGCCACCAGGTCCCCCCTCAGCCTTCTCTTGTGGAGGCTGAACAGGTTCAGGTCCCGTAGCCTCTCCTCATAGGGCCTGCCCTGCTGCCCCCCGATCACGTGACTGGCCCTCCTTTGGACCCTCTCAATGCTGTCCGCATCCCTCCTGAAGTGCGGCACCAAAACTGGATGCAGTACTCCAGCTGCAGCCTGACGAGTGTCGCAGAGAGGGGGAGGATCACCTCCTTGGACCTGTTTGAGATGCATCTGTGGATGCATGACAAGGTATGGTTGGCCTTCCTGACCGCGTCCCGCACTGTCAGTCCATGTCCTCGTAGGGCCTGCCCTTTCGCTTGTCCTCAGCTGTAGGAGCAAGCTAGGGAGGAGTCTCCCATTTCCATTAAGTCGGCGTGTAGCCGAGATCCTCCCACTGGAAGCTGGCCAGTGAGCTATGAGGCTCTTGTAGGGAAGCCTGTCTGCAAGTTGAAATGGGTGCACCCTGCACCACACAAAATCATTTGTAAGGCACCTCCCTGGTCAGGGTACTGCCCCCTGCCGTGGTATTTCCCCTGCCTTGTATCCCTGACAGAGGGAAATCTTTGGCAGCCGTTTCCCCAGCGTGCAGTCAGTCTGAGCACCCCGTGTGGCTGATGGCTGCAGGAAGCAAGCTAGCGGGAGGGAGTGGCCTGGAGCAGGTGCAGCCCAATCAGCTCCCAGCTACCCAGCCAGACCCTCCTTACACATCAGTGCACACTTAAGCTTCCTCCTAAAAACCCGACTGAGGGAGGGAGTTTCATTCAGTGCTGCTGAGCTCTGCCCCCTCCTCCCTTCCGGCTGCTGTTCCTGCCAGGGCTGTAGTCTAAGGCGGGAAGGAGGTCAGGGGGCTTTGCAGCTGGCTGGTAAGCTGGATGAGGCTGGGAGGGTGAGAGACTGGATCCGATGTGGCTGATGTACTGCTTCCTGTGGCTGTTCTTTAGGGTGCTGATTTTTTCTCTGGCTGCCCCATGTACCTGCAGCTCTCCAGGGTCCCTCAGCAGGACCAGCACCTTTTGCTATCAGGAGGTCTTTGGGAGCACAGGGGCTGCTGGCACCAGATATCTGAGTTTCCTTAGCCAGAGCTCTGAAGACTTAGTGCTCTTCCAGAGCACATGGGACATGAACAGGCACCTACTGGCATGCTCCATCCAGAAAGAGGCCTCAGTAACACACCTGTACCAGGACTTCTGTGCTCAGCATCTACAGAACAACTTTTCTGGCAGCTCTTGGAGCCCAGCACTTCAGCGGGACTTGGATGCCCTAGACAAACAGAGGAATGCTTGCACCAGGATTGAAACCGTGGGAGCAGGTGGACCCAGAATAAGGAGAGCACTCATGGAAAAGAGGGCAGAACCACCCCCAGAGAAGGTTAGGCACCGGAGGAGCCGGCGGGGCTGGACAATGCCAGGGACACTGTGGTGTGGAGCTGGGGACTCAGCAAAGAACTTCACTGAGTTAGGTAAGAATCTAAACCCCAGAAGTTTTTGATGCAGCTCCCAGTGCCCCCATCTCCCCTAGGACTGAGCCAGCAAAGCTGGATCCCAAGGCTCTGAGCAAGAGGAAGCTGGTGTTCCCAGGTTGAAAGCCTCTGAATTTGTCTTAATGGTGGCCCCAATTTATTCCCGCCCAGGGCTCTGTGGCCCCATTACATATTGGTGAACTTGGAGAAGGTCCAAGATATCTGAGAAACTGAAGGGCTTCGGAACAGGGCATCACCCTTTTCTGGAACTTCCAGGGCTCCCCGCCTTACTGTGTATGGTGTCATCAGGGTCACCAGCGTCCTTATTGCCATTGTCCTCATGCCAGGTGTTACTGATGTGTTATCAGTGTTGAAGTTTCAGGAACTGCAATGCCTACATATGAGAGTGGCAGATCTCACTGAAGTCCAGTTGGCCTACTGGGAGGCAAGCCCTGCACATTGCCCACAGGCAAGAGCAAAAAAGAGTCCACATTCCCTCCACTGCTCGCAGCTTCCAGCCATCACTCCTTTGGGGAAGCAACAAAGGCAGGGTGCTTCTGCAGGTGCCGCCCTGCTTTGTTACAGGAGTGCTATATCAGCCATTCTGACCTGCCCATCCCTTCCCTGAAGGAATCTTTCAGGGCCCAGACTTGTGCTGCCGAGAACATGACCAATGTGCAGAGCAGATCACTGCCCTGGAGTACAACTATGGCATCCGCAATTACCGTTTGCACACCATCTCCCACTGTGACTGTGATGCCAGGTGAGTAGGGCTGATCACAGGTGCAGCATGGCCCAGGGGCCTAGCTAGGAGTAGAGGAGTCTGGTTCTGTCAGCTCCACCACATCTCAAATCCCATAGTGTGCCAGGGTACCAGCAGTGTCACTTAGGCTCAGGAGATGCCCAGGGCTGGAATAGCAGGGCTATGGGCTGGGACTGAGGGGCATCAACAGGGCTGGGGTGGGTCAAGGGAAGCCTGAAAATGCCTGGGATCCCTCAGTGGCTCAGCCCTTCCTGCCACATGTGGCATTTCCAAAGGACAGGTGATTCCTACCCCTCTGTTGTGCCAGAGACAGAGACCAGCAGAAAGTCAATGGAAATGACTCAACAGTCCCTGCTCCCTTGAAGGCTGCTGCTGTCAAAGCAGGACTACCAGGCTCCACTTGTTCGTTATTCATCCCTTCTCCTCCAGCACTTAGGCCTGTGCTGCGAGGGTGCCGAAGTGCAGCAGTCCCTGCCAGGGAGATCTGCTAAGAAGCTTTATCCCTGAGCTGCAGGGTTTGTCACTGGAGGCCAGGATCAGGGTATGCTCATCAACT